CCCGACAGCGCGCCCAGGCCGCGGGCGACCAGTCGCAGCGCCGGGGTCATGGCCCGCGCATCGCCGCCCCTCAGCGCCCGGCCGCAAAGCGCGGGAGAGCGCGCAAGGGCTGTGTTTACCTTTTACGTCCTGCCGTAAAGCGCTGACAGGGCTCCGACTCCCAGCATGCCCCGCGGCGGCAGCTGAGAGTGAGTGTTTACGAGTCCCAGCGTGCCCCGCGGCGGCAACTCAGAATGAGGACTGCGACTCCCACAATACCCCGCGGCGGGAACTGAGAATGAGGATAACGACTCCCAGAATGCCCCGCGGCGGTAGATGAGAGTAGCTATTTATAACTCCCGGCATATCCCGCTCAGAATAAGGACTGCGACTCCCAGCATGCCCCGCGGCGGTAGCTGAGGGAATGAGATGGAGGACTCACACTCCCAGCATGCCCCGCGGCGGTAGCTGAGCGTGAGAATTTACGACTCTCAGCATACCCCGCTCAGAATAAGGGCTAGGACTCCCAGCACGCCCCGCGGCGGTAGCTGAGAGAACGGGATGGAGGACTCCGACTCCCAGCATGCCCCGCGGCGGAACGCCTGCTCAGAGCTCGGAGCAGGCGTGGCGGGTTCACTTCTGGGTCATGGGTCGCCGCCCCAGTGGGTCATGTGACGGCAAGATGGCTGCCCGGTGGCGGCGCTCCTGAGGGAAGCAGCGGGTCCCGTGTGGCGGTGGCGGTGCGGGGCCTAAGGCAGCCCCGCGCGGCTGTTGACCGAAAGGCTGCCCCCCAGGCCCCGTGAGCGCGCGAGGGGGAAGCCAGGCCCGGGGGCGGCGAGGGCTGGCCCTTCCCCCCCGGGGCGGCGGGAAGAGCCGAGGCCTGGCAGGGGCCGGGACAGCTGCCCCCGCGGAGCTCTGTCGTAGTGGTGCCTTCTGGGCGCGGGGGAAGGCTTCGCTCGTCCATGCCGTTCGCCCCCACCCGGAAATATGATCAGCGCCCCCGACGTAGTGGCCTTCACCAAAGAGGAGGAGTTGGAGGAGGAGGCGTACGACGAGCCGCCCCTGCCTGAGGAATACTCCGTGCCCCTCTACCCCTTCGCCACCTACGGCGCCAACCCCTGGTCCAAGCTCTCGGGCTCCAAGTTCCCCCGGGACTTCATCCTCATCTCCGAGTTCTCCGAACAAGTGGGGCCCCAGCCCTTGCTGACCATCCCAGATGATGCCAAAGTGTCCGGCACATTCGATCTCAACTATTTCTCCCTCCGCATCATGTCCGTGGATTATCAGGCCTCCTTCGTGGGGCACCCGCCGGGGTGCGCCTACCCAAAGTTGAACTTTGTGGAGGACTCCAAAGTGGTCCTGGGAGATTCAAAAGAAGGAGCTTTTGCCTACGTGCACCACCTGACTCTCTACGACCTTGAAGCGAGAGGCTTTGTGAGGCCTTTCTGCATGGCCTACATTTCCACCGACGAGCACAAAATCATGCAGCTGTTCCAGGAGCTCTCTGCAGAGTTCTCCAAAGCCTCCGAGTGCTTAAAGACGGGTAACAGGAAAGCTTTTGCTAACGAACTCGAAAAGAAGCTGAAAGACCTCGACTATACTAGGACTGTGCTGCACAATGAAACGGAGATTCAGAAGAAAGCCAATGACAAAGGGTATTACACTACCCAGGCCATCGAGAAAGCGAACGAACTAGCCAGCGTTGAAAAATCGATTATTGAGCACCAAGACTTGCTGAAGCAAATCAGGTCATATCCTTATAGAAAAATGAAGGATTCTGATTTCCATCCATACGAGCCAGAGTGTGCCCCGGATCAAGCTAATGCAAGTTTTGATCTGGACTCAACTACCTCCCACCATGATGAGCCTGGTGAAACGCATCTATATGCACGGTTGCCACCCTACACCCCTAAGCTCATCAAAGCAAAGTCTGCCAAATGCTTTGACAAGAAACTAAAAACCCTGGAGGAGCTCTGTGACATTTATTTCTTTACCCAAACCGTCGATCAGCTGAATCAGATAGAGCGAACTTTCAGAGGTGATGTCTGCTACCTCTTGACAAATCAGATCAATAGAGCACTTTTAAAGCAACAAACTATAGTAAACTTCCTGTTTGAAGATGTGTCTGTCCTAGATGAGAAGCCAGCTGAAAAACACCTCGCTGGTTGTCAGGGGTGTCCTCAGGACACTGTCAACACCAAGAGTTTAGAAGAGTTTCCCATCCCTAAAGTGCTGATCAGCCTGGGATCTTACAAGTCGAGCGTGGAGTCTGTGCCCATCAAGATGGATCCAGAGATGGAAGATCCTCAGGAGCTAAAAGTGAGTGATCCTCCTGCCGAGGACCACCAGGAGAACTTGGAGTACCTGGATGCAGATATTAAAGGGAGCATCAGCAGCGGGGAGAGCATCGAGGTTTTGGGAACAGAAAAGTCTGCTCCTGTTCTGACCAAATCTGAGAGCCAGGCTAGCTTGCCCATCAGTTCAAGCCCCCACATGGTTAGAAACAAAGCAGTCAGCGGAAGAACCATCAGTGAAGACAGCATTGAAGTCCTGAGCACATGTCCCTCAGAATCTCTGATCCCAGAAGATTTTAAAGCAAGCTACCCAAGTGCCATTAATGAGGAAACTTATGCGGATGATGAAGAGGGAGGTATTCACTTCAGCCCAAGTTTAACTCCTGATAATATGGAAGAGAGGGAAGGCAGGTCAGAACAGGAGCACTTGCTGCAGGTGGATTCTGCCTGTTGTATTGGGAAAGAGAGTCCTACCTTCCTGGAGCCTCTGCCTGACCTGGGGCGAAAGCACTGTGACGACGACGGCGTGGTCAGCATTCCCCCGCAGCCGTACAGGCAGGCGGACCAGGGCCTTCATGTGAACTTCTCAGACTACTTGTCCCACGATGGTGTCCCTGGGGGACTCCTCTCGTACGAACCCGATCCCCATTACTTACTGAGCAGCCGAGACGTCAGTAAAATTAGCTTGGACGAATGCTCCGACTCCACAAGCTACATGAGCAGCGCGGCTTCCACGTGCTCTGATCGTTCTCCTTCTCCCGCCCATCCGATTAGTCACTTCAATGAAAGGCACAAAAAGAAAGCCGGCCAGAATGCCTTGAGGTTCATTAGGCAATACCCCTTTGCTCACCCTGCGATATACTCTCTGCTCAGCGGGAGGACGCTGGTAGTCCTGGGAGAAGACGAAGCAATAGTAAAGAAACTGGTCACTGCTCTCTCCATCTTTGTTCCAAATTGCAGCGCATACACGAAGCCCGTGAAGCACTGGGTCACTTCCCCTTTGCATATCATGGATTTCCAGAAGTGGAAGCTGATTGGGCTGCAGAGGTAAGCTAACAGGCAGGTTCAAACCCTGGGCATTTTCTGGGTAATGTCAGTGAAAGGGACTTTGGATGTTCAAAACCTCCTGGAGGGAAATGCATAGTTTTAAAGCCATGACCCCAGTCACTTTAATGGAGGGAAGGGGCTTGAATCAATGCTGCTTACAAACTTTCTGCTTAGGTGTGTCTGCCAAGGGAGGGATTGTCTCCAGTTCATTCCTTCCTAGAAACCCTTTGTAACTGGCTTATCTTCCCGAGCATTCTGCTAGGTTTGAGCTTTCTGGTTCCCTTTAGTCAGTGAGGAATCACACAGTGAAAATACCAAAGGTTTTAATCTTGCAAAGCAATGAAGCCAGTGTCTTGGTCCCTTTGCTTTGCTGGATCAGGGCCCCCTTGGATCGAATATCGCGACCCCACTAGATGGCTCTGAGCCTCTCAAAAGTCTGCTTTCCTTACACCTGAAGTTTATTTTAAACCATCCTTTCTGATGCAGGAACTTCTGGTTTTCCTTTTGCTTCCTAATGTGCAGCGTGCTGCTAATGAAGCCGAAAGGCTGAAATATCCCACTAGCAGTATAGCCATTGGAGTGAGGAAGGCTGGCTGCATGTGTCAGTGCATCTGGTAACCAGGTGGTGGGGAGCGGAGTACTCTGGGGAGCTTGGGCTTCACTATGACCATGCTTTGCTCTCTATCTTGTAAGGTCAAACCAAAGGCCCGAGTTACTCAGTGTCCTACAAGGGTTGCAGTTTGGGTTTTAAGGAGGCTTTTGCTTTGGGTGAAGGTCAGGTCTAGAAAGAGGGTTTTACTGGCTGCAGACTCTTATTTTATTATTAAAGCTGTGGCTGTTCTCTTGCTTCCTGTTGTGGGAAATAGCCCTGCAACAGTGAGCTGGCATTTCTCTTTTCTAGTTTTCCAGGGTTAAGATGTGTGCTAGAGTATTTAGCACTGTCCCTCAGCCTAGATGGGGAATGTGTAGCAGGGCTGATATTGCAACTGAGTGATGTGATAAGGGGTGCTGTGCTACAAAAGTAATCTGAGCATAAAAAGTGTCATTCCGGCCTGTGGGACTGTTGTGCTTTTTCCCTTCCATGGAAGCTTCGACTTACGAAATCAGCTGACTGTTCAGCTTAGTCACCTGCCTGCCTAAGTCAGAGTGACAGGGCTATAACTGGGCCAACAGCAGCTCCTCAGATTTCCAAACTGTACTAGGGAAATTTAAAAACTTGCTGCCAGATGTGCGGTGCTTATAAGTAGGTGAGAGACGAGGGCTTTATACATGTTCCTTTTTAAGGGATGTTTGAAGGAAAATGGAATGGCTTGCATGTGTGGCAGTAGAAGGGTTAAAGTATGAAGGGTTTGACTTGACAGATTCAGCAGAATATTTGTGGAAAATAGTTGGAAGAAGCAGGGGTTGATCTAGAACTATTCTCTGCAGCTCCTTTGCTTGGTAGCAGCTTTCCTACAGTGATACAGTCTCGGCAGTGTCGGAGTCGGAGCTGAACAGTTTCTGGCTCTGGCATCAGAGTTGAGTGAGGAGGTCGGCACCTTTGGTTTGAGGTTGGGTCTGCCTCTGCCAACAGGCAGACCTGAACTGGGAGCCCTGCAGGGTTTGCGTAGGGCTGTAATATTTGGGTAAATGTCATGCAGCCCTTGGCAGGTGATTCTGTGCGTTGAGTGTATTTTGCCTTTGCACCTTAGAGGGAAAACATCCAGTTGCTGCAGTGGAGCCCATGCTACTTTTACCAAAGGATTCACTACAAGTAGAATCTCAGTAACGTATGAGCGATTGCAAATAAGCCAGGGCTCCTGGAAACCCTGGCAGCTGCAGGAAAGGGACATCTAGAAGCAACAGCTTCACTCCCAGTAGAGAACGCTGGTAGCAAGATTCGCTTCTAGTCACCGGGGATTTCTCCTGGCTCCTTGCTCCTCCTACAGTCCCATGCATTGTAACTTGCCTGCCTGCCCCCACTCCACTGCTCTTTCACTCTGCTCTAGCAAGAGGCAGTGCCCTGGGGTGCAGTGTTGAGGTTCTAGGTGGTGAATGTGCATTGCTTAATGGATAGTGCTGTGCTTTGCTGAGAACTGGCAGTCCATTGAGGCCATCTACTTCCATTTAAGCGGTGGTTCTGTTATGTGCCCACAGAAGCCCCTACCTGCTTGCTTTGCTGACTCCGAGTGCTAGACTCACCCTGCAAGACTATGGCAACACAGCTCCCAGGAGCTTTAAATCTTCTTGGTCTGTGTATCTTTGTGCCTCGAAATCACCTTTCAGAGCTTCGTGGCTTTCCTCCTCCTCACACTGCTTCCCCTTGCATTTCAGAGTGGGGTCCCCTGCCAGAGCTAGCATGCTGCACTCCCTGACTCGCTACAGCCGCTACGTGAGCATCCTGGATGCCGACAGCAAGACTCTGCGCTGCCCCCTTTACAAGGGGACGCTGGTGCCCCGGCTGGCCGACCACCGCACACAGATCAAGCGGGGAAGCACCTACTACATGCAAGTTCAAAGCGCCCTCACCCAGCTGTGCTCAAAAGCCTTCCTGTATGCCTTCTGCCACCACCTGCACTTGCCCATCAATGAGGCGGAGGTGGAGGAGTCCATCGCGAACCGCCGCATGAACTTCCTCAAACTCCAGCTAGGGCTGGTGAATGAAGACGTCAAAATCGTGCAGTACCTGGCAGAGCTGCTGAAACTGCAGTACCTTCAGGAGCCTGGCAGGGGTGCCACCCCCCAGCTGCGGTTTGACTACGTCCCCAGCTTTTTGTACAAAATCTAACGGCCTCTGGGTGGCGAGGCTACCTCCGCCGATTCTGACACGGGTCCTCTGCGCTTAACAGCGATGCTCTTTGCAGATCTCTGATGCATTGGGGAGGATATGGGACAGCCTGCATGTGTGCACACAGGAGTCCCCTGCTAATCCGAGCGCTGGGAGAAGCCTGCGTGGTTCCCTGGGGCTGAGAACTAGAATGTGTCCTACCCCATCAGCCACGAGATCTCAAATGGATTGGCCATTCCATCTTTCAGTGCTAAAGGGACGCTGTCAGCTTGCAAACCCGTGCACTAACGACACCCTGCCCTCCAGCCCTTGGCTGGGAGGCATGGGGCAACCCACTGTCATATTGGGGAGGGTGTGACTAGCAGGGGGCTGTCCCCTCTGCTGATAGGATCCTCTTCACTCATGCTTACACTATGCATGTTCTTATGACATCAGCGAAGGCCTAATATGTTTTAAAAGCCAGGTGGGTTTTGACTGTATTTTGCTGCCTACCAACAGCAAATATAATGTCCTGCCAATGTTAGGGGTGGGTGGGGAGGAACTTGACTCAAACCTTGCCACTAAGATCAAGGCTTGAAAGTATCTGCTCTTATTAAGCAGTAGTTCACAGTGTCCCTTTGCATCGTCTTAGCTCATTAGCTCATTAACAGTTTCTGGAATTGCTCCCCATTGAGCCTGTCGCACGGAGATCAAAGCGTGCATGTTTCTGTTCCCCAAAGTTTCCTGGTTGCTCAGCTTTGCTGGAAGGACAGGTCAGCAGTGTGTCTCTGATGGCCAGGTGACACAGCGGCCCCCCTGTCAGCATGAATGTAGAGCACCATGCCTTGTTTGTTTGCAACACGCTTGTGGCTTGGATTGTGGGGTGGTGGGAGGGATGGGGAGGCCTGCGGGTCTTTAAAGCTGGCTGAGATTTTAGCAGCGCCGCAGCAGGATTGCCTTTAGGGACAGATAATAGGCATGCGGGCTCAAGCCCGGCAACCAGGTAGCTGTTCCAATGTCTTATAGAGAATGATGGGGCAATTTGCCGGAAGATGCACTGAGAAGGAGGGGGTGGGATCAAGGAGCTTTGGGGCAGGCAGAGGCCCCAGCTTATTGAAGCACTAGTGCTCGGGACAGGCCAAGCATGAATGTAACAAGTGACGTGTTTTATCCTTTTGTAGCTGCTTGTTGGGGCCTGTGCTGTGCTGTGCTCTAGGAGGAGCAGGGGGTCCCCAGACCAGCGGGCACTGCCTCCACTCCACCTCCACCCTGGTTTGTTGTTGTTCAGTGCCAGGCCCTTGGAATGTCTCCACTACCTCCCATGGCATTTACCAGGCATCTCCTTGTGGCACTGATCAGACAGGGAGAGCTGGTCCCGTGTTGCTCTCTGTGCCATTCCTCTCGGACTGCCCAGAGGACAGTGGTGCTGGCACATCCGTGGGTTTGTTGTCAGCACATAAAGATTCATGCTCTGCTTTTTGTGTGTGTTCATCTTCCATGCATCTCTTCCTTCTGTGAAATTCTCAGAGGAGGTTCCATCCCGTCAGCTCCTACTGTTTTGCTCTGGGTGGTTGGAGGATGCCCCTGGGGTACTCCTGGAGTGAGGGAGAAGTCTGACAGGAAAAGCTTGCCTTGATTTTTATTCCTCTTTTAGCACTCTTCCCTGCTGATTTAGAGGGGAAATGGCTCTCTTTTTTTTTTTTTTTTTTTTTTACGAGAAGCCGAAGTCTCTTTCTTTCACTCCTCCCTAGAATGTGATTCTGTGGGACAGAGTGCTGGAATTGAATGTAAAGCTCCTTCTGTGCTGGGGGAAGCTTCGATGCAGGGGTTTGGGCTTCCGGGTAGGTTTTAGATCGCATTAAAACGCGATGGGAAAGCTGCACTAGTACAGAATATGGAGCCCCCTTGGGGGATGATTGCACTGCATGCCCCAGTGCCCAGGGTGCTGGAATGCCAATGTCATCTTTTCCTCGCATGAAACGGGGGTTGTCGAGACGCTAGCTGGAGGTGGGGGGCACAGTCAGGGTAGAAATATTCTATTGTCACTACTACAGGCGTCCAGCTAGACCAGTGCCTGTGGAAAGTGTGAGGTTGCGATGTGCCTGGCTGGGACTTGCAGCCAGAAGCGACTTGTAGCTTTTCCAGCATGTGGCTGGGAGCCAGATGGAGCTGTCCCCTGCTGAGGGTTTGGGCAGCATTGTGTTAGCTTTCCGTGTTTGCGCGCGGCCCAGCAGGGTCATCTGTGTAGTCAGAAGCATGGTGAGGAGCTTGTGCTCTGCAGCATTGAATGTGTCCTCCGAGATGCAGCTCCCACATGCAACCTGGGTAGGTTTGAGATCCCACTGAAACTCCATGTACATGAACCAGTAGCATCACTGAGCTGTCTGCTCCTACTGGGACAGTATCTGCATCGTGTTCAGATGGAGACACCCAGGCACCAGTGCATGTAGAAAGAGCAGCTGGCAGCTTAGTAGTACGTGAGCAGTGCAGGTGAGGCCGCTTACTCCTGACCTCTGCTTAGTCATTCATCCACTGGACTGGAAAAGGAGCGATCTCAAGCCCTTCACGCTTGTGTGACAAAGGTAACTGAGCTCTGTGGGAGCACGTGGCTCTGGCTTGGTGCATCCTTCTCAGCTGACTGCAGCACACTGTGTGATGTCCCCCCGGAGTATTGGTGGGTGGTGGATGCATTAGGCTCCAGGGGTAGGTAATGCAGTGCAGCGAAACATGCTTTGGGACATCTCCCTGTACCACCCCAGGGCGAACAGCGAGCTGGCCACCAACTGCCCCCTAGAGCCAGACCCCTCCCCTCACAGCCACTCCCTTGAGGAGCCCTTGGGCCACTGGCCTTGTGGCATGTGGGCCCCTGGGGCCAATCTCTTAAAGCCTGAATCTGCTGCGTTTCTTACTGTTTGCAGTGAGAGGGGAAGTGCGAGCTGGCAGACAGTGGCTCAGGAGCTGCTCTGACTCCAGAAAGCTGTCTCGCATGGTGGTTTCAGGGTCTCAGGCTGCACTGTATTGTCTTGATCCCACACCAATGCACTTTAAGACTACCTGATCCTTAATTATGTTGCCTCGCTACCTTTAGCTATTAGGAACCACTCACAAACTAGGAACCTAGCACTGAGAGCTTCTCCCAAACTGGCCTGCCTCGTGACGCCTGGTCTGTCCCTGCAAGGCCTGAAGTAGAACAGACCTGTGCACTTTGTTGTCCTGTCACTTTTAAGCCCACAGCTGGCATCGGCACCTGCAGGGCCAGTCATCACCACTGTAGAGCACTAGACCGTCTTTGTGTAGCCGTGTCTCTGCGCTACTGGACTCGTGTCGTCATGCATGGCCCTTGTCTGCTTCTGTACGTACTGCCTGCCAGCCCGTGCCCCTACTCCTGCCCCATGCCGCATGGCTGGCTGGGGCCTGCTGCCTACTCTGTGTGGTCTGTGCTGGGGAGACGTGGTTCATAGTTGCAACCAGAGAATTCATCCAAGCAAAGGGCGTCCTGGTCCCTTGCTGCCAAGCTGGGGAGGCTCCAGTGCTGCTTGTCCTCCAGCTCCTGTTGTCTACAGGTGTCGCACTGGCTTGTGCTCCCAGTTATGCCCTGCTAGTGCCAGCTCTTGGATGCTTAGCCAGGAGGTGGTGGGAGTTTCCCCCTAAGTGTCATTCTCAGAGACAAGCGCTCAGCTTGATCCTAACCCAGGAGCAGCCGCTTCCACACAGCTCAGCTGTGTGGCCTCAACCCCAGCAAAGGAAGCGCTGCCTCTATTTTAGCAATACTGACCAAGCGCCTTGGTGGCAGGGGGGAGCTGGGCTAGAGAGTGGAAAGCTCCTGTGCTGTGTGCTTGGTTACCACAGAAGAGCCGGGGCAGAGTAGTCAGAGAGGGCTTGGTTCTGTGAGATCCTGGGTGACCAACTCCCACTCTTTCAGCATCAGTGCCTTGGAAAGGCTGGGCCAGCAGGGCCTGCTGTAGGATGGAGGGTACCACTGTGGACGGGTGGTTATAAAGCCCAGCTGTGACCAGGAGCATCTACACTGGGCCATTCAGGGAGTCCAGAAGAGCAGCCAGGCAGGCACACCCTGCAGCAGGGCTCCCACTGCTTGAGGTCACGTACCTGATTTGCATTCGAACAGGAAGGCAGAAGTACAGGGTGTCTGGCCCTGCCAGCTGCCCCGGTGCAAGGGGCAGGCAGTTGGTGGTGGAGGGCAGGCGGGGCAGCTCTGCCCTGGAAGCCCACGATGAATTCTCGTCTCCCTCAACCACACCATTGCATCCCTGCATGTCGCGTCCCTGTCTGCACCTCCAGAGCCCGCATGGCTGCAGCCTGTGCGCCTGGCAGCCGGGAGGAGCTGCAGCATGTCGTCGTGCCACGTCCTGCACTGAGCCAGGCACCCATGCCGGGCGCCCAGGCCAAGACGTACTTTTAAACAAACTATTTATTTGGGTTCCATTATTTTTTGAGACACAAAGAGGAACTCAGTTGTATTTTTTAAAGCTTCGAATTCTTGTCGTACTTCATGTTCGATTCCTAATTTTACTGTGCTTATTAAAAAATGATCCTGAACTATGAGGCAGGCTCTTGTGTCTGGTTACCACGGAGGGGCAAGCTGGTGTGGGAGCCTGGCCCTGCAGGATGGGCTCAGGAGTGACGTATGGAAATAGAGCTGGGAAGCTACATACAGCATAAGCTTGTGCATCAGTCCTCCCCTGCCAGCAGCAAGGTCTCAGAAGGTGGCTGAGTTGCTCAGAAACCGGCATGCTATGCAAAGGTAGGGGAATCCTAATGCTTCCCCTACATTGCTGAGCATAAGCAGGCATCCCTGCTAAGCAGCGCCCCTCCCAGGAAGCATGAGTATATAGCTTGGGCTGCACGGAGAAGAGCTTTATAGGACACAACCACAGCTCAGCATCCAGCCCCATGCCTGTATCGGTGTAGGTTGTTCCCAAACCCCCTGCATTGGCACCTTTGTGAGCCCAGGTGGTCCCGACCTGGAGCACAAAGCTGGCCGGGTAAAAGTCAGATGAAGGGAGATCTTGGGCCCTGATTCCACCCGTTACAAAGGGGTGCAGGGTCTGTGGGCACTACGGCTGGGGAACTGGGGTCTGAGTGTGGGTTCTTCCACTCCCTGGGTCATGCCCGTGAGTGTGGGGCAGCGCCCTGGATTCTGCCCCTTGAAAGTGCCAGGGAAGGTGGGTACAGGCTCAGCTTCCAGGGGGCTGATAGTGCTAACCGTTAGGCTGTAGGAGGAGGTGGTGAGGTCCTGTGGGGGGCGGGTCCATGGGGGATACAGCAGGGCACGTGGTGGGAGGCACTGCCCTGGTGGCAGTGGCTTGATCCCAGTGGTCCCCCTTGCGGTGCTGGGACCCGGGCACAGTGGCTGCCTGGGGTTTAAAGCACAGGCAGACCCGGGATGGGGAATGTCGCAGCGAAGGCCTCCACCTCCTCCTTGAGGGCCTGCAGTGGCCCCTGGTACTTTTCATTGCCCAGGTGCTCCTTGAACTCCTTCAGCGTCGCCTTGGGACTCATGTCGCTTTGGACCCTCAGCGTCAGCTCAATGCCTGTGGGGACAGCAGGGGTTAATCAACCTGCACAGGGCAGCCCAGTACTACAAGTCTGCCCCAACCCACCGGGTGGGCACTGCCCCACAGCAATCGGGAACCCCAGGGCTGGGCTTTAACCCATCCTTGCCCTTAACCACTGGGGGAAGCTGAGCCCAACTCCCAGGTTGCTGCTGCTGTCATCCTAAGGGGCTGGCGCTGCAGAGCAACCAGCCTGCAAGGAGCAGGTTGACCCCGGCGGGGCTGCCCCAGGCGTCTATAGAGACACGCACCGGGGAAGCCTTGCCCTTCTCTGCAAGGGTCTCCAGCGTCTAGAGCAACCAGCCTGCAAGGAGCAGGTCCTAGTTTCATAGTTGGTAGGGTCAGAAGGGACCTGAGCAGATCATCAGGTCTGACCCCCTGCCATGGCAGGAAAGAGTACTGGGGTCAAACGACCCCAGCAAGCTGTTCATCCAGCCTCCTTTTAAAGACCCCCAGGGTAGGAGCCAGCACCACTTCTCTTGGAAGTTGGCTCCAGATCCTAGCCGCCCTGACAGTGAAGTAGCACCTCCTGATATCTAGCCTGAATCTACCCTCTGCCAGCTGGTGACCATTATTCCTTGTCACTCCTGGTAGCGCTTGGGGGAACAGGGACTCTCCCAACACCTGCTGGTCCCCTCTGACTAGTTTATAGACGGCCACTAGATCCCTCTCAGCCTTCTTTTGTGGAGGCTGAACCGGTTCAGGTCCCGTAGCCTCCGCTCGTAGGGTCTGCCCTGCTGCCCCTTGATCATGTGAGTGGCCCTCCTCTGGACCCTCTCAATGCTGGCCACATCCCTCCTGAAGTGTGGCACCCAGAACTGGACACAGTACCCCAACTGCGGCCTGACCAGTGCTGCACAGAGTGGGAGGATCACCTCCTTGGACCTGCTTCTGATGCATCTGTGGATGCATGACAAGGTGCGGTTAGCCTTACTAACCACGTTCCCACATTGGCGGCCCATGTTCATCTTGGCATCAGTAATGACTCCAAGATCCTTTTCTGCCTCTGCACTGACAAGGAGGGAGTTCCCTAGCCTGTAGGTGTGCTGCTGGTTCTTCCTCCCTAGGTGCAGTACCCTGCACTTGTCAGTGTTGAAACCATCCTGTTCTCATCCGCCCACCCCTGTAACCTGTCCGGGTCCGATTACAGTCTATTCCTCCCTTCTAGCATGTCCACTTCCCCCCACATCTTAGTGTCATCTGCAAATTTGAATAGGGTGCTTTTCACCACCTTGTTCAAGTTGCTGATCAAGACGTTGAACAGTGCGGGCCCAAGGACCGAGCCCTGAGGGACCCCACTGCCCACCACCACTCTCTGGGTGCGGCCCTCCAGCCAATTTGCGGCCCATCTGACTGTGTAGGTGTCGACGCCACACTCCCCTAGCTTTTCAATGAGAATGGGGTGAGACAGTGTCGAAGGCCTTCCTGAAGTCCAGAAAGACTACGTCCACTGCTACCCCTGGGTGTACGGATTTTGTGACCTGGTCATAGAAGGCCACCAGGTTGGTCTGACAGGACCTGCCTCTAATGAACCCGCGTTGGTTGCCCCTAAGCATAGTCTCCCCTGTTGGTCCCTCATGGACATGCACCAGGATAACTCTCTCAAAAAGCTTACCCAGGACCAAGGTAAGACTGACTGGCCTATAGTTTCCTGGGTCCTCCTTCCTGTCTGCAGGGGAGCGACAGCCACTGCCTTTTGTAGTAGGTACCTGGAGAGCAGGCGGGAGAAGGGGACTTGCCAGGCCCAGTAAAACCCAAACCTAGTGCCAGCATCTGGGCAGGGGCCAGTTGAGTGAGCCCAGAGCTCTCAGGAGCCAGAGACCCCAGTCCACCCTCACAGCTTCCCCCTCTAGGTGCTGCAGCCTCGGTCTTACCCTTGTGGATGAAGACGGCCACCCTGTGGAAGTCCTGTTCCCGGAAGCCCCGGGAGGTCAGCGCCGGGGTGCCTAGCCTCAACCCGCTCGGGCGCAGGGCACTCTTGTCACCTGCATGAGAGCCACAAGTCACGCGGGGAACGAGGCAGCCAGTACACCTTGCTTGTGTCTCTGACAGTGCTCCTGCTGCAGGGAGGGGCAGCAGGATGGGATCTGGCACCCAGGAGTTTGCTGTGTGGTGTCTCCACACCCCTCCCTGCTCCTCTCCTCCAAGAGCAGGAGCCCTGACAGCTCCTTGTGGTGCCCTAGCCCCAAAGTCTGGCCAGCAGGGTGATGACCCTGGCATGCAGCCCCTTGAAGCCGGGCAGCAGAGCTGCCTGCTGGGCTTTGGCTCCAGCCTGCCTTAGAACCGACAGAAGCAGCTGCATCCAGTCCCATCAATCCAGCACCACTGCTGATAGCCAGGGGTCCCTCCAGCCAGCGCAGAGGCCAGAAGAGTCGCTGACCTACCCCCATCCCGGCTTGCAAAGCAGATCGCCCCTCCCTAGCCCCAGCCAATTGGTGTGGTAGTGATTAAACTTCCATTGGTAGGTACAGGGGTTGGCGACTGTGTCATCCCTTTCGGCCCAGAGCAGCCCAGATGACAAGCAGGCAGCTCCAGCATGGAAATGCAGCTGCTTCTGGGGTGGAGCGTAATGTACAACAGCTGGGTGGGAGGGGAAGGTCACAGAAAGGAGTGTGGGTTCAAGGCCTGACTTGCTGGATCAGCTCCGTCCCAACACGCATGTGGCCTCCAGAAGGCAGAGCGCAGCGTGGACGGGGCAGGAGTGTCCGCCCAGCTCTGCCCAGGCTCCTATGGGCTCTCACCCGGACAGGTGTTCTTGTTGCAGGCAATGGAGCAGATCTCCAGCACCCGCTCAGCCCTGCCGCCATCTGTGCCCTTGCTGCGCAGGTCCACGAGGATGAGATGGTTGTCGGAGCCACCTGCAGGACAGACACAGCACAGAGAGGTGAAGGGGAGCCCTGGCTGGGCCGTGGGGGGAACTGGGCACTGCAGCTGGGTGGAGACTGGGGCTTGAGCTCAGCAAGAAGGCATGCCTTGAAGGCCAGTGCACCTTCTACCAGTAGCCCGTGGTGGATGTGAGTAATAACAGATGCAGCTCTCACCCATATCACACAATTTGTATTGGTGGAAATGAGCCTTGATGGGAGATTCAAGGTTCCCCCTCCCATATCTGAGGTGTCTTATACTTGAAGGAATAGGGCGCTTGGGCTCAATCCTGCTCCCACGCCCACGTAGGGTCAACAGCTGCCGGCTTCCGTGCTCCCTGCTCTGTCTGGGGGGTGCTGAACCAGGCCATGGGCAGGAGCAGCTTGTGGCAGCGCATCCATGGGAGCCTGGTTGGATGGGGGAGAGCTCTAGCCAAACCTGTGGTTTCCTGGGGCCCTTAGCGTAGCTGCGAAGGGGAAGAAGCTTAGTTTGGGTCCCCTGAGAAGCCGTGTCAGAACCAGGCTCCAGCCTGGTGAAGGAGGGGGCCGCGGCCGCCGCGCTTACCAGTGACGATGTGGTAGCCCATGCCAAGCAGCGCTGCGGCCAGGGCCTTGCAGTTGGCGACCACTTGCCGCTGGTAGACTCTGAACTCGGGGGTCCTGGCTTGCTTGAGTGCCACGGCAATTCCTGCACGGGGAGGAGAGGTGTTGGCTCCAGGCTGGCGGCGTGCGGACAATGGGACACTGGCCGGGAGCTCTGGGGAATGGAGCAGCTGCTCCCTTCCCAAGCCTGTCTGGCCGGCGCAGTGCCCGAGGGCTTTGTAGAGAAGGGCCCCCATTGTGCCAGGACTCCACAAAGGGCCCATTCAGGCCGGTGCCTCCTGCCGGGAGAGGACCCCCTGCGTGGTGGAAGCCTGCAGTGGGATGGATCTGAGACTCAGCTGCGAGCCGCAAATCAGCAGTGGATGCCAGGGCTTCAGGCAATCAGGCTCCTGTCTATGGAAGGCCTGGGCCAGCAACCCTGAGCCTCCTACCCTGTTCCCTCTGCTGGCAGCAGCCTGGAAAGCCTTGTTCCAGCTGCAGCTCCCACGTGCTAGTAGCAGAACAGAGCTGCTGCAGGCCAGAACGCCAGGGGGTGGGGGGCAGAGGCCCCCAGGCTCTTGTCTAGTGTTGGTCCAGGGTGGCTTGGACCTAACCTCTCCTTATGACCCTGCCCTGGGCCCAGCTGTTGAGAAGCTCCTCTAGAGCTTGGTGTCCGTTCACCAGCCCCCAGGCTTGGGCAAGGAGCTGTCACCCCCTTCCAGTCCCCCCGGCCCTATCTGGCCAGAGCTGGGGGCCCCTCACCTGCAATGGCATGGTTGTGTGGCCCCCCCTGCAGCCCGGGGAAGACGGCCTGGTTGATGAGGCTTTCCAGGTTGTAGGGCGTCTCCTTGCCCGTCTTGGGGTCCACGCTGCGTGTCCCTGCAAGAAGGGTGGGGGGAGGGGAGACATGACTGATTAACCCCTTGGTGCCTAGAGTCAGGGTTTCCCAGCACCAAATGGTCAAGCCAGCACCCCACCCATCTGTGTGCTGGACCACGCGCTTCCCAGGTACTGGGAGCTGCTGGCTGGAGGGATGGGATGTCCCAAGAGCACCAGGGCTGGTGCTGTGCTGGGGCAGAGGATGGGTGCAGTAGGAGGGGGTTGGCTGAGGATGCACAACCCAGTTGGCATGCGGCCCATGGCCCCTCCACCACCTTGGGGTCTCCCAAGGCTGGTTCAGGGTAGGCAGCGGAGACCCAGCCAGCCCTGCTGCTGCTGAGTGACCCGGGCGGGCAGTGTCACCAGGGGCAGCCTGTAGCTGGGCCTTGCCAGGCTTGGGTCCAGCCCCAAGCACACAAGCAACAAGGGGGCATGCACCAGACAGGGGTCCCTGGCAGAGGTCGGGGGAAGGCTGAGACCCTCCCTATAAGGACAGCACTGAAGCCACTGTCCCAAGGGAGCCTCAGACCCATGTGTGGACAGGGCCTGGGGGCAGAGGGGTACGTCTAGAAGCACAACGCTTCCTACCTGCAGGCTAGGGCATTGGGACAGGCTCCCAGGGGCCCCTTGGTCAGCAGCCACCCAAGCACCTGGCCCCATAACCCTGCTCATTGTAAAGCTGTGATGGTACCAGGGACCTTTTAACCCACCCCCAAGCTACAGCAGCACTGCCCTGCCTACCCTGACCCAAGGCACCTGCCCCCAAACCTTTGCGGTAGAAAATCATGCCGGCCCGGCAGCCCCGCAACGTCTTGTGGGTGGTGGTGGAGACCACATCGCAGTGCTCAAAAGGCGAGGGCACCACACCAGCCGCCACCAGCCCGCTGATGTGGGCCATGTCGGCCAGCAGGTAGGCTCCGTTCTCGGTGGCGATCCTCCGCATGCGGGCATAGTCCAGGTTCCGCGAATAGCAGCTCACCCCTGGGATGGGAGGGGGAGAGCGCCGGTCCCGTGAGAGCTGCTGCACAGCCTGACGTGTGGGAGCCAGCCCAGGGCTTGGGGCTTGGCCACCAGAGGCCAGGGAGGGATGCTACGAAGGACCCTGGTGTCCACCAGCTAGCTGGACTGGGCCAGCAGCCTCCAGCTATTGCTGTCCAGCAGGCAGTTACACACCAAGGGCCATGGGGGAAACCGGAGCCCAGAGCAGCAGGTGATCTGCACAGCCACGTGCAGGACCCAGGTGTCCTGGCTTCCAGCCTCCCCTCACCCAGCACAAGGCCCCTCTTTGCCACCGCAGCCCCAGATCAGGAGGCAAGTCAGGATGCCTGGCACCGCACTGTCCCCATGCCCTGGCCGGGCTGGGATCTGCACACTGGCTGCGACCCCGTTCTCTCCATTATTAGGCCTGCTACGCACCCGCGATGATCAGCTTGGGGTGGAACAAGCGGGCGTTCTCCTCCAGCCGGTCGTAGTCGATGTACCCGGTGCTGGGATCCACCTGTGGGGGGAACAGCCGGGAAGCCTGCAGGGTGAGCACCACGCTCCGCCTGCCCTGCCCACGTGCTCCCGTGCCACAGATGGGTGACAGGGACCCAGTCATGCACTAAGGGGTTAATGCTGTCTCCACACCCCCTGCAGTGCCCCACACCCAAGCTCAGGCCCCCACAGCCTAGTCCCATGACCAGCCTTGAGCCTCCCATTAGGGAGCCACATGCTAATTTGGCTGTGGGACATCAGCCCGTGGTGTGAGCCCCTGCCCACAATGGCAGGAGGGAGCAAGGAACACAGGGGCGTTAATCCTGTCCTGCCTCCCTGCACGGGATGGACAGGACCTCAGAGCCAAAGGGGTCCTGTGGCCTGTCAGGGAT